CGGACAGAGGACGCGAATAACTCGTTTCCATGTAATTGCCACTCCATTCGAAAGATTCCAAGCCAATGGCATCTCACTGGTACGATAAATCTTGTGCATCATGCTCTTGAGAAAAGTGCGTATTCCTTTCATATCAATTGTTGCCTGCTCATATCCAAGCCCTCGATATCTTCTCGAAGTTCGTCGATATGGGTGAAATAGCATCCAAAACAATTCCAATGGTAGAGACCATGGTGGTGTCGCTTTGCGCTTCGGTGCTGTTCTGAAGTGCTGCCCTATGAGCTTGAGCTTGTCGCGAGCCCAGTCGAGCCCCTGCTGTGACCATGGCGAAGTGATATCCTGATTTTCAAGTCCTTCAGGGCCGTAAAGATAATCATCTACATGTGCTTCCCAACTTGGAATAAGATCCGCTTCCATGCCTCCTTCACCAGATGAAAGTTGGAATCTCCTCTGCAAATCTGTCGATGTTGGGAGTGCCGATACAACTCGTTTGTAATTTCGCTTGCGAGGTCCAGTGCCTCTTGCAGATAAAAGCCTCGAAAGCCTCGCAACTTCTGCTTTACGTCCCTGCTGATAAGCTTGTAGAAGTTCTGCTGTTACGTCTTGTCGCCAGGCCACCAAGTGTTGTCGCCGTTGCTGTCGCTGTCGTTTTGAGAGATCCCGTAGTTGTTGACATAGTGCTGCTTCTCGCTGCTGTAGGTCGTCTGCAGGAGTTGTGGGATCAGAGGCGACGTCGTGAGTGTTATTTGTTGACTGTCGTTCTGACCCCCAGTTTGATCGAGCTTTGTCGAGCATAGGCGCAGACGAGGGGTGCCCGAAGCCACAAGGCTCCACGGTGTGAGACATGGCCGCATCAGTGGCCTCAGGCGCCCTGGTAGAGACGTGTCTCCCCAGGGGGATGGTCGCCTCCCAAGATGGGTCCTGCTCAGCATTCTGACTGGGGTGGCGTGGTTCGGCATGGCAAGAGCCTGCTGCCTTACAAGAGAGATCGGTACTCCCATTGCATTCAGCGAGTGCAGCAAGTTGTGCACGTAGTTCGCGTCGCTGCTCAAGTAGCTGTAGTGCTTGATCGGCGCGTTGATTGTATCCAGCTGCTGGTTCAACAGAGGAAGTAAAAAACTGCTGTGCCTCCTGCGCCATCACCTGCAAGAGATAAGCCCATTCATGATTAGGTGTCTGCTCTTCTCGCCGAATTTGTTGATGCTGAGCTGCTTCTCTATTGAGTCGGTTCTCGACGGCCATGAGAAATTCAGCGCGGTGAGTACCTCTACGCAATGCGTCCATAAGGGCCTCACGATTCCATTTGATGGGTTGATAAGCGAAGCCGTGTCGCAATGCGGACCGCATATGAGTTGCCAGCCCAAGTACCGCTTCCAGCGAGTATTGAAGTCGAACGTGTACTGGAATGTGGTCACGATGATACCGAGAAGGTATTGTCTGCAACTCCGTCGCTAATCTACGCAAAGGTCCTGCACTGGTAACCGCCGAGGTCAGACATCTTGGTACGAGAATGAAATCCAACTGTGAGCTGGTGCCAGTAGAACTGTAAAAGGTAGGTCCTCCCCCTCGAAAGGTGTTGATGGGTACCAGATCCAGTTGTTCAAGTAAAGGCAGTAAAATGTCAGCTGCATAACGTTGACGTACTGCTGGTGCTGCTGATCCGATACACTGAGAAGAAATCGCAGTCCATTCCTCCTGCCCTGGTGCTCGTTGAAGTCCAAATCCTGAGTTGAGGTCCAAGCACACTATCGGTAGGCATCTATGCGCACACCAAAGAGGTAACCGCTGCAGCCATTTCACCAACATATCGCAAGTACGATGGTAAGCTGGAATGCTGCGCGCATGATGTGGGGGAGGAGGAAAGTACAGACTACAGATGCCGAGGTCGAACTGCTTGCTCTTTGCCCTGATGGCCAGGCCGCGCCCAGCTGTTGCTTGAGGAGCCGTCCAGACGCCGACGATGTTCCTGCGGGGGATACGTGGGCCCAGGATGATAGCGCATCCTGAAGATTTATTCGAGTAGGGACCTCGCTTCCAACCATGTGAAACACACCAACGTTTGGGCCCTGCTCGTCGCCATTGCGCTACCTCCTGTCCCTGCTGCTGTTCTGCTGTACCATTTAAGCAAACGAAATCCATATTGCCTGTGCTGAGGGCGATCTCATGCAATCTAGTCGGGCAGCTGGATGAAAGTGGGTTATATTGCAAGATCGGGACATGCTGCATCATGGACGAGGCCAGCGGCCGCCGTTGTACTGTTCACTGATGCACGAGTGAGATGCAATGCAACGTTAGCAGAACATGACACAATTATGAAGTGCAGAAGGGTGCTGGTAGGCTACGTTAGCGGATGGGTGGATGAAAAAGCGCCCAAGCCGAGAGCACTTACGGAGGAGGAGGAGGAGGAGGAAGAGGAGGGGAAGCTCTCGGAGCTCTCGGACCAAACGCAGGCACGCCAGCGGCGAAACTGCGGGAGCCCCATACCCAGGTGGGATGAACAATTTGCGGAGCGGGCGTCTGAAAGCGAGGCGCGCGGCGCGCGGGCAGCAGGCGCACGCCGAGTATAGAGCCCACACTCACGAATGTTGCTTCCTGTGCATGGCCAGCTCCTGGGTTGTGGCGAGGCGGTTCGGTTCAGCGCCGCTTTGAACTGCTCGTCGGCTTTGTCAGTTGCCTGCTTGGCTTGCTTTCTTAGTAGATGTGGTGCTGGTGTCGAGGAGCTCCATGGTGCCAGGGCCGACGTCCCGATCCTCCTCGAGCTCGAGCAGGGCCCACTGCTGGGAGACCGCTGCTCTCCTCGGGGCGGTCTACATGCCTGCCTCCCCCTGGTTGCTCCCCGCATGCTTCTTTGCGGGCAGGTCCTGCCATGGCCCGCTTGCGGTAGCGAGCCCGTGGTGCGCCCCCTCGCTGCAGAGAGGCGGCAGGCAGGCGTTGGGCGCAGCCCTCGGCGATCGTGCTATCCAAAACTGCGGCGTCCTCAGGCGCCTGGGCAAACTGGCCGTTGGGGGCCTGAGAAGGAGGAGGGGGGAGGGGGAGGAGAAGGAGGAGAGGAAGGACGCTGGTTGATGAGGAGACAAGGAAGAGGAAGAGGAGAAGAAGGACGAGGAGGGCCAGGACTGAAACTTTGGAGTACCGAAACGGTGCGTTGACAGACCTTGCGGTGACCTCGGAACCCCAAGATACCTCACCGCACGGTCCGTCACCGCACCGTCTTGGGACCCTGGAGGCCTCTGTCGCCCGAGACATCCTCGGAGAGGGACTCGAGTCTCCAAACCGCGCGGCGACCCCGAATCCCCTCAAACTCACCACACGGTGTGGTCACCACCCCGTTGGGGGGCCCCCGGGAAACCTGAGCGACCGCCTCCCCCCCCATGTGACTCTGCCCGAAGTGGCGGCGCCCTCGCGAACCACGGCGTGCACCGCCCCGCCCCTACGGCGGAGGAGGAGGAGGAGGGGGGAGGAGGAGGAGGAGGAGAAGGGGGGAGGAGGAGGAGGAGGAGGAGGAGGAGGAGGAGGAGGAGGAGGAGGAGGAGGAGAAGAAGAAGGGAGGAGGATGAGGAGGAGGAGGATGAGAAGGGAGGAGGAGGAGGAGGAGGAGAAGGGAGGAGGAGGAGAAGGAGGAGGGAGAAGGGAGGAGGAACAGGAGGAGGAGGCCGACCAGTGTAAACCCACCACGCATCAAGGACGATGCATAAACCCTCCCACCACATTCCCTCTTCACACGGCCCTGCAACAAACAAACTTGTGCATTGCGGTGCATGCCCCATTGGCAGACAAGCGTGTGGGAATCCGCAGTCGTGCCAGAAACATCCTTCCTGAGACTTCAGCGTCGCAAATCAATGTGACTGTTGAGTCCTGACAATCCAAAACTTTGTCAGGACAACCATTCCAGGGACTCCAACACCGCCACTCAACGTGACTGCTGAGCCCTGACTATCTCAGATCTTGCCAGAACACATTTGCGGGAACTTCACCCATGCGGATCCTGGACACTGTTGCGAGCTTTCGGGACAAATGTGCGCGGCGCAGATATCAAAACCACATTCACCGTTGGTAGCGTTCAAAGCCAATGTGCGCGGCGCGATAGCGAGAGCCACAGTTTGAGACAATTCGCTCTTAGTCCTTGAACCTGTTGCAGACGTTTAAGACGAATGTGCGCGGCGTCGAGGGTATAACCACATGTGTTCCCTTGCCATCCTTGAAGAACGTGGAAAACAGAGTTCGGCCCCAACCAAAGAGAGGGAGGAGGAGCAATGGGAGGAGGATAGCAACCGACCGCCGAGGTCAGCGCAGGGGGAAGAAAAGGATGTTGATGACGATAGTGGTGATCAGAAGGAGGAGGAAGGAAAGGAGGATGAAAAGGGAAGGAAGGAGAACCGAAATGAAAGTCCCCTCATTGTCCACTCTTCTCCTCCTCCTCCTCCTCCTCCTCCTCCTCCTCCTCCTCCTCTCCTCCTGCTCCACCCTTCTCCTCCTCCGCCCTTATCCTCCCCATCCTCCTCCTCCTGCTTCTCATCCTCCTCCTCCTCCTCCTCCTCCTCCTCCTCCTCCCTTCTCATCCTCCTCCCTCCTCCTCCTCCTCCTCCCTCCTCCCCTCCTCCCCTCCTCCTCCTCCTCCTCCTCCCTTCTCATCCTCCTCCTCCTCCCCTCTCCTCCTCCTCCTCCTCCTCCTCTCCTCCTCCTCCTCCTCCTCCTCCTCCTCCTCCATCTCCTCCTCCTCCTCCTCCTCCCTTCTCATCCTCCTCCTCCACCATCCCCATGCTCCTCCTCCTCCTCCTCCTTCTCCTCCTCCTCCTCACTCTTCCACCCCTCCTTCCCAACCCCCGGAACCATCCGAAGGCGTCCGAATCCCTTGAAAACCTCTGGAAGCCTCCCTGGCTCTCCGTCGTCGCCATCGCCATGGCCGTGGCCGTCGCCGTCTCCGTCGTCGTCGTCGCCGCCGCCGTCGCTGCCGCTGCCGTCGCCTTCTCCGTCGTGGTCGGCCGCCCCCGGGAGCGCACCTCCGTCGAAGAGGGCGGGCCCTCCCAGAACGTCTTCTCCTTTGACAGCTTGGCGTCATCCTTCTTGTCACCCTTGGCCGCCTCAGAGGGGATTTCCAACAGCAGGGGCGCCGACGATGCTTTACACAGCCACTAGTCGCTCTCAAATGCACAAGGAGGATAAGTACGAGGAGGAGGACTCTGCTGGACTCTGCGCAGGGGGGGGCATCAATCTATATGTGTATATCAGAGTGAGGGGGCCGAACGGTCATTCACTGTCCCTGGGTGCGTGGCTGATGTGGAATTCCGCGGTGCGGATTCTTGTTGTTGTTGTTTGTTGTTGTTGTTGTTTGTTGTCGTCGTCCCACCCGCAACCCGCCCCGCGACCCACCCGCGACCCACCCCGCGACCCACCCCGCGACCCACCCGCGACCCACCCGCGACCCACCCGCGACCCACCCCGCGACCCACCCCGCGACCCACCCCGCGACCCACCCCGCGACCCAACCCGCGACCCACCCCGCGACCCCCCCGCGGCCCACCCCGCGACCCACCCGCGACCCACCCGCGACCCACCCGCGACCCACCCGCGACCCACCCGCGACCTACCCCGCGACCCACCCGCGACCCACCTTCGACCCAAACCACGTTCAAGGTACAAACCACAATTTTCGGCGCCTGCGGCGGGCTTTTTTGCATTCCTTCCAATGGAGAGCCCGCGACACATCCCGTGACCAACTCGCGACCAACCCGCGACCCAAACCACGTTCAGGGTACAAACCACATTTTTCGGCGCCTGCGGCGGGCATATTTCGCATTCGTTTCAGGTGGAGAGCCCGCGGCCCACCCGCGACCACGTTCAGGGTACAAACCATATTTTCGGCGCCTGCGGCGGGCATCCTTTGCATTCGTTCCCTGTGGAGAACCCGCGGCCCACCCGCGACCCAAACCTCGTTCCGTGTACGAACCATTTTTTTTGGCGCTTGCGGCTGGCTGCTTTTGCATTCCTTCCAGGTGGAGGCGGAGAGCCCGCGACCCACCCGCGACCTAAACCACGTTCACTGAACAAACCAACGCCGCACAAGCGCGGCGGCGGATTCTTGCATGCCGTCTGAGCCCGCAAGGACCTCTTCACGCCCCGCACATCCACGCCAGCCCGTCCAGCAACTTTGCCCTGGCGAGTTGCCTTGATCAGAGAAGGCGGGAAGCATAAAGTGGAAAAAAGGATTGCGTTGCAGTTATCTTGGGAAAGGAGGGGGAGGCAGGATGAGTAAACAGGGGACGAGGAGAACGTGGAAGAAGAGCGGGTGTAAGGAGAACGCGGAGAAAGAAAAGGAGGAGGAGCAGGAGGACGAGGGGGAGGAGGGGGAGGAGGGGGAGGAGGAGGACGAGGAGGGGGAGGATGGGGAGGATGATGATGATGGACGACAATGGGAGGACGATGATGGAGGCCGATGAGGGGAAGGACGACGATGGGAGGACCATGATGAAAAGACGAGGGGGGGGAGAGGGAGGACGAGGAAGAAGAGGAGGAGGAGGAGGAGGACGAGGTGGAGGAGGAGGATGACGATGACGATGAGGACGAGGAAGAGGAGGAGGAGAAGGAGGAGGAAGAGGAGGAGAAGGAGGAGGAGGAGGAGGTGGAGGAGAGCGCCATCGACAAGGGAGGTGGGGGCCACGAGGTCCGCCGGCTCGACGACGCCCGCGTCGCCCGCGCCCGCCCCCTCACTCTTATCCGCAATTGCGGGGTGCTACGATAGTTATAGATATGTATCGCGATGGGGAAACGAAGGAGGAGGAGAAGGAGGAGGAGAAGAAGGAGGAGAAGGGAGGAGGAGGCGGAGCGTGCCCGAGGAGGAGGAGGAGGAGGAGGAGGAGGAGGAGAGGAGGATGAGGATGAGGAGGAGGAGGAGGAGAAGGAGGGGGAGGAGGAGGGGACGAGGAGAGGAGGAGGAGAGGAGGAGGAGTAAGAGGAGGGAAGAGGAGGAGGAGTAAGGGAGGAGGAGAGGATGAGGAGGAGGAGGAGAGGAGGAGTAAGAGGAAGGGAGGAAGAGGAGGAGGAGGGGAGGAGGAGGAGGAGGAGGAGGAGGAGGAGTAAGAGGAGGAGGAGGAGGAGGAGGAGGAGGAGGAGCCCCCAGGAGGGCACCTCGGCGTGTGGGCGGCACGTCGAGACGTCGCCTGCGCAGGGGCGGCGCGGCGGGCCAGGGGCGTTGGTGGCGGGCCTGGGGCGGCCCCCCGACTCTGCCGGATGGTCCCCGCGTGGAGTCGGTCTGCCGTCCCAGGTCCCTTGGGGACCCGACGTTATGGGGCCGCGTGGGTAGCCCCCCAGGGCTGGCGCGGACTGGTTCTCCAGTCTGCGTCGGCCTGCGTGGTACCAACCTATGCGGGGGCTGGCTCTGGCCTATGCGGGTGTGGCCAGAGGGGTCGACTCTCGTGGAGAGTACGGCTCAAGACGTGTACCGCCTGGCCGCCCTTGGGCAAGGGGGCCTGTGGGTGCGGCCAGGTTACCCCTGTGCGGTAACACGCGCCGTGTGCCCCGCACGGTGACGTGGGGTAACCTGTATCCCCTGGCGCAGGTAGAACCAGGGAGGCATGGGGGCCGCCCGCCATCGGCGGGTCGGTGGAGCTCATGGAGCTCCACGTGGTGAGCCTGGCGCCTCTTCTCTTTCTTTTCTTCTCGCTTCTTCCCTTTTTCTCTCTCGGGCCCCGCCAGGAGCGCGCGGCCCCTAGCTCCAGGGGGTCGCGGGGCGGCGGGTTTGCCCCGCCACATATCGGTGGCTAGGGCTGTACCTGGCCGCAATGTCGAGTCTCGTCCGAGGTCCGCGCGCGGAGGCGTCGCGCCACCATGCCAGGTTGCCGGTTCGTCCGAGGCCGGCGCAAACGCCGCTCACTGCAGCGGCTTCGAGGCTCGCCGCTGTCTCCGTCGGGTGTCAGGTTAGTCACCTGACGGAGACAGCGGCCCCGCGGTGGGGCGAACGCATCGCGTCTGCCTCCTTTGCTGTGCCCAGGAGGAGGGGTAGGAGGAGGAGGAGGAGGAGGAGGAGGAGGAGGAGGAGGGAGAAGGGAGGAGGAGGAGGAGGAGGAGGAGGAGGAGGAGGAGGAGGAGGAGGAGAAGGAGGAGAAGGAGGGCCGCCTGGTTCTCCTTCTGCCGCTCGATCGCCTCCGCCAGCGACAACCGCGTCTTCTTCGGCGGCGCGGCCTTCGCGGCATGCAACGCCGTGGCCGCGCCTCCCGCGCGAGGGGGCTGCAATGCGGGCGCCGTGGCCCCCACGAAGCCGAGGCGACCTTCGCTCGCGGGGGAGTGCACTGGCGCCGTCCTCCGCCTTCCTCCTCCTCCTCCACCACCTCCTCCTCCCTCTGCCTCCCTCCTCCGCGCTCATCCTCCCTGAAGGCGACCCGAGCCACCACCACCCCCACCCCCACCACATCACACGTTCTATCTTCAAAACTTTTCTCTGGGGCCTGCGGCCCCGCGACAGCCGTCAACTGCTTATGCCCTGGGCGAAGCCCTTGGCCAATTGTAGAAATCGCAACCACCGATCGGTGGGCAATTGCATAATAGGTTTTTTGCTGAAAAACTGTTGTTATAAACGCCCCAGGCTGTTCACACAAATGCCACGCGCGAGATCCCCTGTAACATATCTCAACTCGCGTCTTCGCGCACATGCAGCGGCGCATTTCTGCAAAGGAAAACGATACCTTAAGAAAACGCAGAACCGGTTTTATAACAACGAGCAGCGGCTGAATACAACGACTTACGACACCAATGACGCAACGATTTGGAATACTCGCAGTGGGAACGCGTCGAACATATCCAGAGGCTTTCCGGGAAAAATGTGCAAATCGTCCTGGTGGGCATGGGATTGGGTTGCTCTCTCTTGGCTCTTTGCATCTCTCCCCTTCCTTCCCTGCTCCCTCCTCCTCCTCCGCCCCCCCTCTTCCTCCTCCCCTTCTTATCCTAGTCCTCGCCCTCCTCCTCCACCCGTTTTCCTTTATGAATAAATTCATCTCTGTCGCACTCCAAAACGTATCGGTAGGGTGGGCCAGGCGTTTCACTGGAGAATTTCTAACAATTCGTGATCCTGGAGCTTGACATTTGCAACCGTTTCACCTGTTACACGGATGGAGGGCGGGTGGTTTTCTACAGGTGGCTCTCGCCTTAGCGCCGCGCGCATTCGTCATCTAACGTTTGCAACAGCTTCAAGGATGGAGATCGGGTCGTTTTGAAAATGTGGCTCTCGCCTTATTCGTCTTCAAAGTTCGCAGCCGCTTCACGGACGGAGGGCGGAAGGTTGTCAAAATGTGGCTCTCGCGTTAGCGCCGCGCACATTCGCCGTACAACTTTACAGCAGTCTCATGGATAGAGAGTGGTTCATTTTCAAAATGTAGCTGTCGAGTTGGCGCCGCGCACATTCGTTTTAAACTTTCGCAGCAGCTTCGCGAATCGAGGGCGGGTGGTTTTGAACATACGCCTCTCGACTGCCGCACGTGGTCGCCTTAAACAGTTCGCAAGAGTTTAACGGGTGGCGGTCGGTTGCTTCAATGTGGCTCTCGCAGTAGCTCCGCGCACATTTGCCAAACACGTCTGCAGCAGTTTCAAGGATCCGTGTGGTTGCAATATCAGGAGCTATGTCTTGGTACAGTTTATAATTGTCCAGGCGCAACAGTCACGTTAATTCGCGGCGTTGAAGTCCCAGGGACGGTGTCTTGGCATGATTGAAGGCTCTCGGACGGTTCTCTTCCACTGGGGCACTTCTCGCAATGCAGACACTTTCTGGTAGAGACCTGTGGAGAAGAAACTTGGAGGGCTTCTTTATCGCACCAGCGTTGATGCGTCTTGGGCTTACACTGGTCCCGCCTTCTGCAAGCGCCGCGGCGAATCGATCGCAGACACACGCCCGACGCGCACCCTGAGCTCGTAACCGACCGACAGGACCAAGTAGGGCAACACGAGCACCCAATAGAGCATCACGATGCGCCGGCTACGCCGCAGCTCGCGATTCGCCGCTCACCCTGCCCCACCTCTCTCGCCGTGCCTCCTCCCCCCTGGCCGCTCCCGCCCCCCCTCTGCGGTCCCCTGCCCAGCCCCCCCCGCTGGTGGCCACGCCCGCGGACGGGGCGGGCCTGGCAGCCAGGCGAGCAGCCCCAGCGCTGCGGCCAGCACCGCCGCCGGCGCCAGCACAGCACCCCCGCGCTGGCGTGCCATCCCCTCCTGGCGGCGCCCGGAGGCCTTCGGAGGCCTCCAGCGGACTTCGGAGGCCTTCGGCGGCACTCGGCGGTCCAGGAGTGAAGGGGGGAGGGGGGGCGGGACGGGGCGGGGCGGAAAGGATGAGACACGACGGGGCGCGGCGAGGCGAGAAGAGCCTAGGCTATGCAGAACAGGGCACAGCCAGACAGGACAGGTTACGAGAGCATATGAGAAGACGCGGCAAGTCAAGACAGGGCACTACAGGACAGCCGACCAACATGCAACCAGCAGCCCGAGAAGAAACCAACCTGTGAGTTTCACTTCTCGCGCCTCTCCTAAATTCATCGATATCATGCGGATGTAGAAGGTAAGCGGGGCAGGGCAGAATGGCAAAATGATAAGGGCAGGGATCAGAGGCATGTGATGGAAGGGGTCAAGTAGTAAGGGTGCATGGGTGATGTTGTAGGTCGTAACGTGGCAATGGTCAAGATGAAATGAGGCCAGGGGAAAGAGGTGAAGGGGTATGGAGCAAAAGTTGTCATATGATGAGTTAGGCGTATGGAAGTAATTGGTAATGTATAGGCGGAGTTAGGGGTAAGGAACCGTGGTAGTGAACAACGGTTGAGAGGGTATGGATTTGGGGTCAAACGGGTCATGTTGGTAAGGGATCTCGGCAAGAGGGTCAGGGACTGGCTCGGGCATGGGGTGCCGGTAAGGGCAAGCACTCAGCATGCTGGCAAATGAGCGGGACGTGCCGATGGCCCGTGACGCTAAAAGGTACTCAAGCAACCGCAGGTACATACGAGGGCATGTGTGCGTGACCGCGACAAAACAAAGCGTACGTGCAGTCAGATGCGAAGGATCAACTAACGGTGAGCGTGAAACGTGCGCAACTCGGGGCGGCCAAGACACAACCACGGACAGTCGTGCACAAGGTCGAGAAAAAGGGAGACACGGAGACGAGACCCGTCAAAGAAGCCGGCAACAACTCCTGACAACCGCCAGAGCCGGGATGGTCAGGGACATGGCCGGACAAATAGATTGGCGGCAGTCGAGTGCAAGCAGCAGGGTTGAGGACACGGGGACATGGCAGGCCAAGGGCATTCGCGCCGGCCGAGGGCAAGCAGCAGGGTCGGGACTGTCGGGGGCAAGAGCCGTTCAAGGAAATTCCCGGCGACTGGAGGTACTCATGTCCGAGACAGGTGAGAAGCCTTCAGTGCGAGCGCTGCTGGGGGAGAAGGCCGGGGAAGAGTAAAGAGGATAGGGACAAACGCAACATCAAACGAAACTATTCGAACTCCTATAAGCATATTGATATTATACGTTGCAACAAACAAGCGCATGCGCATGACCGTTCGCAGGTAAATCTAAGGGCACAAAAATCATCAAACGTATGTGCAACTGCCATTGGTAATCAAATAACAATGCATGCACGTGTAATCATACAGCCAACACATGTGCAACATTACATGTATATGTACGCGTGCAGGGTAACGGTAATCTGTGCAGGCGAAGCCAAAGTACACTTGAAAGCAGGGCAGTGGAGGAGCACCAACAACATCAATCAACATCGAATCGGGAAATCGGGTCGACTCGGAAAGTGCGTCGGATCGGGCCGCATCGGTACGGCGCCAGAATCGAGTCGCACTGGCTGCGCGAGGATGCACAACAGCGCCGTGCGAGCATCGGGCCACACCGGATCGTCGCAACAACGGGATCGAATCGGATCGAACCGGCCAGATCGGATCCCGATGGGCCCTGCGTGGGGAGCAGCAGGCGATGGCAGAGGGGCCGACCGTAAAGGGCAGGCCCGGGGGGGGGGCCTCTGCGCGAGCCCTGCCCGGCGCAGCGAAGACGCGCCGCGGCCCGCGCCAAACCCCGCGTGCAACGCGCTTCCTGGGCAGGGAGCCTGCCCTCGGGCCGCGCACAAACGCTCGGGAGCCCGCCGCAGGACCTCGTGAGGCAAGCAGAGGTTTGCCCTGGCCCAGCAGGCCATGTCCTCGGAGCTGGGGTTCAGGGCTGGGAGGATGCCTGCGGCCAAGTGAACCATCGCCGGGGTGTCCGATACCCAGCGTCTAGTGGTCACCAAATTCGCAATTCCGCCCCACAGCGCTCTGACAGGCTAGCTCAGCGGATTCACAGGTTAAACTGAAGATCCAGAACAAAACTTATGAAATTGCTTCGGGAAACATACCACATAATCAAGCGGACACAAACTCGGCAAACCACAGACCGTTCGAACCACCACCGTACCTGCTGCATGTCGAGAAGTGAACTGGCAAGCTGCCAGCGGGGTAGCGGAATCATGCGCTCCAGGGCCTCATGTGATTCTTGCCATGAGATTTTGCGTGCTTGCTGACCGCTGATTTCGCCCATCGCTGTTACACAGAACGCACGCAGATTAGTAAGCCTTCTGCGGTCGCGCAAGCGACGGCTTGGATGGAATGTACACCGCCGCACATACGACATGGACACGACCAGGAAGCAATGACACCACACCAACTTTCCCATGCACCGCACTTCGACATAAATGCGCCTGCGGAGGATGCAACACGTGAAACAATACTGTCGCTGCTGTGCTTGCATAACCGCGTGGGCACCAAAGAAATGGCGCATGGGAATATTCCAACAGATGTGCACCATATCATGCACGGTACGCCGGTTGGTCGCAGACGCTGTCGGGTCCCGCGCAAGGGCTCCACATTTTGTGTCGCGAGCTTACCACCATGTAGATCTACACCGTCCTGGTCGAATGAATGATCGCACATTGCTTTCCAGAAGCTTGCGAGCACCTTGTGTTGCGTGCGAGCAAGACAAGGGCGCCCAGGAGTGCGAGAAATGCGCGGCACTTCGTGCTGCGTACCGAACGAGTATGCCAAAACACGTGAACGACGCAGACGAGGAAAACGAAGACGAGAAGAAGCAGGAAGAGGCGTTACATCTCTGGACATCGTCGCCGCTGTCACCGTCGCCATCATCATCGCCGTCGCCTCTAGGATCGCTTCTCTTCTGTTCGTCGTCGATGACGCAAATGGAAAAAGCCTGGGGCGTTGATCTACGCAAGTTGTCGACGTCGCCATCACTATCCATCAATATCGCAACAGCTGGATGACATGAGCACTACGTACTACTGGTGCCACCACTGTTGCCATGGAATGCTGGTCTGCGATCAGAGCTGCATCCATCACCATCACAATTGTATTGCACTGAGCAAAAGCAGGGCGCCGTTTTAAGAAGCGCTCAAATCAGAACAATATGTGCTTCCGTGAACAACTGGTTGACACGTAATATCCGCCAACGAATGCATTGCGAAATGCCGCAATGGTGTCTCTATTCTACACGCGGAAAACACTGCCAAAAGTTGCGCAGATACACTTAAAAGCATCGCGCCATGCACCATGGCGCTATGATGCTTGACAATTTGGGCATCCTGCGCGCACGATTTGCGGAAGGGTGCGAGACAAGCCTGGCGTATCCAGTCCCTCTTGATTCATATGGCGCGCTCCAGAAAGGGCTCCCCCGCCATTCAGATGGCGCGCTTCAGAAACTGGCGGAAGCAACAAGGCGGCGGGTGCGCCGGTGGAACCAGGCCGAAGGCCAGCGGAATGCGGCGGAAGTCACAATGAGACGTGAACATGCTTGGATTCAGGGTTTCCGGAGTCGGCCAAATTCTCCTACGTGCCGCGCGTCTTTGAGGCGTTCAGGATGGACGCATTGATGTTGATACCTTCTGCTTCAACGCCCTCTGGCGTGCACATCATCGCGCGCAGTGCCCCCCAATCCCTGCTAGAGCGTGCTCGGCCAGCGAATGCGCCGAGGACAAGAAGCCGTGAGACAGCCAACGGAGAATGGCAGAAGCGCGCGTTGCTATACAATGGCGCTCAGCACCTATGGGTCCTGCGGCTGCTTCCACCGCCCCGAGTGCCCAACCTATCTCAACCACCCAAAAAGCACATCAGAAACAATGCCACCTAGAGCAGAGCGAAGCGGAGCTGTATCGAACTCTGGTCGAGGTTCGGGAAGGATGTCAAAGCGTGCTGGCCTCCTTGTCATGGCTATCGCCTTCACGTCATAAACAACGCTGCAAGTGCTACTGGCGGGTGCCATATTCAGTATCGCTGCCTTCGTACATATCCGCATCAGCATCGCCCTGCTGCCTGCTGCATGGCATCACCACTCTCATTGTGCTCGTCGCGATGGCTGTTGCCAACGATCGAATCGCCGTCACAGCCGTGGCTGGTCAACCCTGCAATTGTGCACAACGCTGCTTGACGCCAACGTCGTCGCTGATACCATGTCACCAGCACGCGAGAAAACGACAACACGAAACCACTCGGATGTATAGGATGACAACACCAACCGCTGTTACCAGTGTCTACATCCGCTGCGCCCGTCCCTGCGACTGCCCCTTTTAAACTTCTGAGAGTGCGGCTACAGGCTGAGAAACCAAGCTTGCGACATCCAGGCACACGTTTCACGTGAGATGCCAGTGCAAGCGCGGCTGCATCCACATTAAAGCGCTCATGCGGGCTGATCGTGACCAAATCCCCATGAGCACGCAACATGAAGGCGGATAATCACAGCGGCGCGGGCAGCGGATGGTCAAGGTCTGCGAGGCGGATGGTCAAGGTCTGCGAGGCATGTACATGTGCTTACCGCCACGGGGGGACAAAGATGAACACGGGAGGATTACAACGAAGCGAGTTGACAACGATCGTCATGCTCGTGCACACCCTGCCTCAATGGCAAAACGAGAACATCAACCAGACGCACCTGGCACGAGCAAGGACGGAGCTCGATGAGCGGGAGTCAGGCGGCAGCCGGCAGGGCAGACAAGGGCAGCGGACAAGGAAGGAGCAGGACGGCACGCCGAGCGAGTGAGCCGTCAACGCCGGGGCAGGAGGCGGGGGGATCTTGAGGGCGGCCAGAGGATGCGACCACGCAGCAACTACAGTCATGGTTCGACCCCTCAGGAACGCCGAATAGGGAACGAAGGGGCTCTGCTGGCCGCAGCGATCCTCGGCCACGAAGATGTTTCATGTTTTTGTTCTGTTGGTTCCTCGACCTGGACCTCAGAGGGGCGGCCCGAATGTCAGAGCCCCCCCCAAGCTCGAAGCGTCTTTTGTCTTAGCGCCTTGACTGTCTAAGGATTGGCGGCGCGCGCAAGGGGGGTAAGGGGGGAGGGGGGAAGGTTTCCTAGAAGCAGTGGTGCTTCACGAAAGCCTTCCACTCTCGCCCCTCCCCCATACACACACACACACACCCACTTGCGCGTAGCTGAGAGAAGGCGGAGGGGATGCATCCTTGAGCGGGCGGCAGAAATTCATGAGCTCACTACAGCCTGTGGTGAACTAGATGGGGCCAGCGCGTTGCGCGCGCCTCGGGCGCGCGCGCGCGCACAGCCAAGATCGGTGCAAAACCGGCGATGCTGTTCCACCTTGCCCGATTGCGCGTCCTACTCCCCTTACTCCTCGGAGTCGGAATCGGAATCGTAGTTTGAAGACTTCTGACTTGGCCGCCTATGTCAGCACGGGAAATGACCAAGGACAACGGAACGGGGGACAGCAGAGCAGCAGAGAGGAGGAGGAGGAGGTGGAGGAGGAGGAGGAGGAGGAGGAGGAGGAGGGACAACAGGGGTCGCAACACCAGACTTCACCATCGTCCTCCGACGCTGGGTCATTATGCGCAGCGCCCTGAATACAAACATCGGCGAAGGCCTCGGGGAGCACAGTCTCCGAGGTAGGTCGCATCCTCATTGCCAACTCCTTTCACCAAATCTTCTCACCACCAATGAGGTTGCGTACCTTCGTTCGTGGCGGCGGCCGCCCGCCGCGATCTGACACACTGCGTGTCTTGGCGAACGACGTCTTCAAAAAGGTTACTAGGCTCAGCGGTGAGATAAATGTAGGAGCAGCAAAATCAAACACGAACGGGATGTTGCAGAGAGGGGCAATCAGGTTCAGGACTGAAGCAACACGCCAAGCACGGTTATCTTCACGCACCACAGCCCACTCCTTGGGCGAGAGATCGCGTCGGCCCAGGGACATTTCACAGATCGGACAGGACGGGCTAGGCCAGAGGCTCCATGCCCATGAACGGAAGGGCCAACCCAGGAAGGACCCCCCGCGACCCAAATCAGGGCCATACGACCCGATTCTACAACGAAACTCTCACCACGATGGGGCAAAAGGGGAAATGGGAAACGTTGAGATGTTTCAAAACTCGCTTGATCCACACACGGGAACAACTCCTTTGCCTGAGACCGGGCCGATGTCGCTGAATGGTGGGGGGGGGCGAGGCGGGGCGGGTCTGAAGTCATCTTCGGAGACTTTCATCGTGGGGCAGATCATGGCCTCAAGCGAGGTGGGTCTAGCTGACAACTCGACCCTCGGTCCAAAAACTCTGCACCCAGGCACACCCGCAAAGTTATCAGGAAGTCCACGCTTCCTATCATTGGCTTGCGTCCCTAGCGAACTGATTCCAGCTCAGCACCCTGTCGCTCGGCGACCGCGCGCCAGACAGATGCCATACATACCGACACCTCCCAACCATTTCCAAGTGAGCATATAACCTGTTCGGGACATGAAACTATTTTGTGCAAGCTTGGCAAGTAGTGCCGAAGGCAAATTGTCCAACGTGCTGATCGTTCTTATGGGTGCCATTCGTTTGCATAATAACAGTACGCTTGTGTTCGGCATGACAGCCACACTGGTAGCACATGTAAGGAGTGACAGCGCCCTGAGCGTCCACAGGGCGCCCTGCAGGTCCACGGCACCCACGCGAAAAGCGGATTCCATTCTTTCCAAAACTCTGCCCTCAGCCTCATCGGAGAGAGACGCCAGGGAACGTATATCAATGTTTCTCAGATGGGTCTTGAAATCCCGAAGGCCAGCCCTGATGCGAACCACCCAATCGGAGAGCCTGAAGTCACCAGGGATCTCCTTATGACGACTGAAAGAATTCATCCAACGTGCATCCTGCTTCAAGTCACTGGTCCATTCAATGTCCTTCGCCAACAGAAAATCAAGCACAGTGAGCAGGCCGGAGAGCTTTGAGGAGTAGGCGTGAGAGATACTTCAAACGCGAGACCTGCAGCAAATGCCGAACATAAAGCCTGTTTGCTTGCAGCAACACTCCTGAATGTGAAACCTGTAACCCCTGTGATCACCGAGGGGCAGGCCCAGGGCGGCACGGTACACGCAGACCTGGGCATGAGCCAACCTGTAAGGGCACGAGAGGAGGGGGGGGACCAAACGGCCATCTTGAGGCACGAAGGGGAGAGGGCGTATGCTTCACCGTTCTGCACTTTTTAATGCCATGGAGCAGCCTCCCTTTTGCCAAGGGCGCGCTCGATGGGCTTGGCCTCGGCCCTGGCTCGGGCGGTCCCCTGGGTGACCTCAGGATCCATGGGGCCCTTATCCTTGACCAGTGTGCCGGTGCAGCGGATGGCGACAGCCTTCAGGGAGGGAAGGACAATTTTAGCTCCATGGGCCCACACCTTCTCCACCTGCTTGACACCCTTGCCCGCAGGTCTCGTCAGAAAGAAAGTCTTGGTTACACTGAGCCGTAAGCCAGCAGCAAACACCTCGCGCTCGACATTGACAGCAGCAGCTTGAGCATACTCCTGTAGTAGTTCAGGTGCAGGCGCCGAGCCAACAATCGTGAAATCATCCACACAAACAGCTGTGTGCTGCTGGTGGTCATGACTACTAGGCCGGCGAGGCGCACGGGAACATCTGCTGGTGGTCTCCAGTCTAGTTCTTGCTCGTGCACTTGCTCCTGACCATCTGTGACAGCGGGGTCACAGCCAAGATTAGAGACGCCGGCGGCGGACACGGTCCCGGGTTCGCATCCCAGCCTGGGACGCTTAAAGCCAGAAGCCCCACGGACGCGCCAGAAACCATGGGTCTGGGACTCGGCGACCAGAGCGAAGAGGTGATGGTCAGAAACAAGGGAGGAGGCCAAAGGGAAGGGGCCAAATTCTTGATGGCATATTCCAAGGCGGGGTGGAAAGGAAGGGATGCCATAGCCTTCTCGATATCTTCAACCTCGACTGGCATGTTGAATATAACTTGTCGGGTGATAGTGTAGAAGCAACTTCAGCTTTGACATCTCTGCTGACCGTGAAGGATGAAACGCGATCTGCAACTTGTGCCTGCAGCCTGGAGGCAAATAAGTGGGTAACGATGTCCGCGCTTCGCCCTGGCACTCCACTGCACTGAGCGTCCTGAAGTCCTGCGGACAGAACTGTGTAGAACAAGCCACGCAGGAAACGGTGATGTAGTTTACAGATGGTGCTTCCCAATAAGATGATCCTGCGTGGGGATCGTTCTTACTGATGTCGATGACCTCACCCTGCTTGGACAAGAGTGGCTCCCGACCCCCAGGCTGACCTTAAGAAGGGATCGGGTGCAAGATGCGCGCAGTGGCCTTTGGCGCCGTCCTCAAACCTCGTAGGGCCCCCCCCCCTGGGCCAGCGGCCGACCCCCAGGAACATTTTGGATGAGCCTACGTAATTCGGTCCCTTCCTCCTCCTCGTCCTACTCCTCCTCGTCCTACTCCTCCTCCTCCTGCTCCTCCGCCTCCTCCTCCTCCTCCTCGTCCTCCTCCGCCGCCTCCTCCTCCTCCTCCTCCTCATCCAGCTGCTTTGCATCGGCAGCGATAGCGACCGAACCAATTCGATGAGCGAGTGACAGAAATATAACATAAAATTCACATGACTCACATCGGCTGGCACTCAGAGGGAGCCGTCGGCTGTGGCGGCGACGGTGGCTGCACGACGGACGTCGCAGCCATGTCGACGATGACCTGCCCCAGCTCCTCGAGCGCCCCTGCCAACCCGCCAGAATCTCCGCCACGGGCACTAGGAGCGAGCGGGAGGCGCGCGGCGGCGCCCCGGCGTCAAGCCGATCCCGTCGCCGCTGGAAGGGTTGCGGCTTCTTCTCCACGGCGCGGTGGCAGAATCTGCCAAGAACCTCAGCAGCTCGTCCTGGCGCTCCTCCAGGAACTCCTCCAAGCTGAGCCGGGAACGACGGCGGACGAGGGGCTGGGATGATGATGTGCCCCGATTCCGCCAGGCTGCCAGCTGCGCCTCCGCGACAGCCGCGTGCTGAGCGATGTCGAGCCCACGGGCGTCGCAGACCTCGACCTCCCCAGCTCGAGTGGCACCAGGAGGAACAGCCACAGCGCCGCCACCGCGTAGGCGCTCGAGCGCTGCCTCGCGCAGCTCACTCGCAGCAGCGTCCCTCTCGGGAGGCGGCCACCTCCGCGCTGCAGCAGATGTTACGGCACTAATCAGCTCGCCAGAGAAAGCAACGGCCCCGCAGGAACAGCGCCCATTGCCTACAGGATGAAATCGGCCGCCTCCGCCCGCAGCGCCGAGGTCGATTCCACGAGCGCCACGGACTTGGTATCCTCATCGAACTTGATCGAATTGTCCAGCCTCCGCGCCTCGAGCCTCCCCGCATGCTTCTGGGCCTTCCGCAGCTCGGCCCTGCCGGCCGCGGCCAATGACACACCAGGGGACCCCTCGGAGCGGAGCGCAACATTACGCCTCAGGATGTCCTGAGCCTCAGGCCGCTCGCCCGCGAAGAGCGAGGTGAGAGCAGGCAGAAGGCACGCGACCCTCTCCGCGACCTCCGCGTCCCCGAACAGGCTCTGCAACGGTGCCTCGGAAGCCTGCACCTCGCGGTCGGCCGCCTCCAGCTTGACCAGCAGCTTGGCGACCCGCGCCATCATGTCTCCGTGAGCCAAAATCCCCCCTCCCCTCCGTCCCTCACGCCCGCCGCGTTGTCCCGTGAAACTGGGGTCGCAGGGTATGCCTAGGGGCAGGGTCCAGGAGGGGGGGGGCCTACAGAAAGGCATGAGCCAAAATGGCTACGGAGCCAACTGCTTTCGTGGTTATCCTCCTTCTCCTCCTCCTCCTCCTCCTCCTCCTCCTCCTCCTCCTCCTCCTCCTCCTCCTCTCCTTCTCCTCCTCCTCCTGACGCGCTCGTCAGATCTCGAGCTCCTGCTCGCAGGTGTCACGAGCTGGTCAGGCATCACTTCAGGATTTCCCCCCACCCGTGTGTCGGAGGCGGGCGCCGTGTTCGTCGCCGGGCACCACGTGAGTCCTCCCTCCATCGCCTCCTCCTCCTTTTCTTTCCTCCTCCCTCTTCCTCTCCCCTCTTCCCCCGCTCTTTTGTTTATCAATAACTCCTCCTTACTGCAACCCGAGACGTGTCGGTAGGGCAGACCAGATGTCTCGCCTGCGACTTCTTCACCAACTATGAATCTTAAGCTGGGAGATTGCAAGAGCTTCACTGGTAGATGGCCGGTGGTTTTCACAATGTGGTTCTCGCTGAAGTGTGCGCGCGTTCGTCTTAAAGATGCCCAGAGCTTCACAGACGGAGGGCAGGTGGTTTTCAAAATGTGCCTCTCGCCTTAGCGCCGCGCACATTCGTCCTCAACGTTTGCAGGAGCTTCACGGATGGGGGGCGGGTGGTTTTCAACATGTGGCTCTCGGCTCAGACCCGCGCACAGTCCTCTTGAGCTTACAACAGTCTGATGTATTATTACGACTTACGTTCAAGCAAGCATGTTTATGGCAGGATGTAAGAGTGTCAGGCAGCAGCAATTACGTTGATTCGCGGTGTTGAGATCCTTGGGATGTTCTGGGACGACTCAGGATCGCCCGGACGCAACAGTGAGGTTCATTCGCGGCGTTGAAGTCCCATGAATGGAGTTCTGGCACGGTTCAGGATTTCCACACGGTTGTCTTCCAACGGGGCAATTCCATCAGTGACAATGAATCCCTGCGAAGAGGGAACTTTTTTGGGGGGGAGGAAGGGTTGATTGCAACATCGGTGATGAGTCTTGGATTTGCACGGGTCATCCCTCCTCCTCCTGCTCCTCCTGTTCCTCCTGCTCCTCCTCCCTCCCCCCTCCTCCTCCTCCTCCTCCTCCTCCTCCTCCTCCTCCTCCTCCTCCTCCTCCTCCCCCCTCTTCCTCCCGCTCACCCCCCCTCCAGGAGCACGGCGCCGAACTCACCGGCCCTTGGGCGCCGCGAATCCGCCGGCCCTAGAGGCAACGCGGCGTGCTGTGACAGCCCGCGGACCAGTGAGGAAGAGTGGGAAGATGAGCGGGGAAGAGGAGTGGTAACGAGGAGGAAGAGGAGGAAGAGGAGGAACACGATGATAAAGTTCACGGCGGGACACCAAGCTTCCAAAGAGCAAGCTTGAGGCTTCAGACTTGAGCTTGAGCTCGAGCGTACGTTTCTTCTTCATTGCACGTTGTTTTTGCGCTGTAGATTCGCTGTCAGGGCTTGAGATTAGGATTTCGCGTGCGAGCCGAACGCAGCTTCGGGAGTTCCAGGGAGGTGCGAAACGCGCAGTGTCAACCACGACAACGGCGACAGAAGAACAGTTGGTTTTGGATTGCAGTTGCTTTGCATTGCAGCTTCTTTCTGCATTGCAGATTTTTGTCCGCAGTAGTTTCGGTGCTAGAGCTTGAGCTTCGGATTTTGCGTGCGAGCCGAACGTTCTCGGGGGAGGTCCAGGGAGGTGCGAAGTGCGCAGTGTCCACCACGGCAACGGCAGAAACTCAGTTGTTGTTGCACTGCAGTTGTTTTTACATTGCATTGTGTTCCCGCATTGCAAGTTGGTTGCGCTGTGGTCTCGCCGCTAAAGCTTGAGCTTAGGATTTCGCGTGCGAGCCGAACATGGTGTGGGGAGGTCCAGGGAGGTGCGAAGCGCGCAATGTCAACCACGGCCACGACGACAGACAATTGGTTTGTGTTGCATTGCTAGTGTAATTGCATCGCAGTGTGGTTCTGCATTGCAATTTTCTTTGCGTTGTAGAGTCGCCGCTAGAGCTTGAGCTTACGGTTTCGCGTGCGAGCCGAACGTGGAAGCAAACTTCTGCAAGCTCACTACGTTTTCCCTTGAACTGTTACCTTGCAAGTCTGACGGGTGGTCTGGTCTGGTCTGGCATTTTGGGTCTGGCATTGAATTCCTCGCTCTTGTTGGTACTGGTCTGACTGGTCTGGTCTGGTCTGGTCTGTGTGCGGCTGTTCTGCTTTGCGCGATTCGTCTTGCTGATCTGCTTGGCTTGGTTAGTTTAGAGTGGCTTATCCGATATTGATGGTCTGGTTGATTAGTCTATGTAGTCTGGCGTGGTTGGTCCACTTGGTCTGGTTGGTCTGGTTGGCAGGGTTCTGTTGGATCCGATCCAAGTTTTTGTTGGTCTCATCGGTTTGGTCGCACAGGTTCCTTCATCTTGTCTGGTTGGTTCGCATCGTTCGGTTTGTTCGGTTCGCTGGGCTGGCCTTGGTTGGTGGGTTGGTCTGGTTTGCTTGGTGTGGTCTGGTGTGCTCTGACTGGTCTGGCGTGGTACTGCTGGCCTGGTATGCGTTCCTCGCTCTTGTTCGTAAAGGTCTGACTTTGTGTGGCTATTGTGGTTTACATGGTTAGTTTCGCTGATCTGCTTGGCATGGTTTGTCTGAGGTGGCTGCTCCGACAGTCCGACATCTGGATGGTCTGGTTGGCTGGTCTTATTGGTCTGGCGTGGCTGGGCCACTTGGTCTGGTTTGTGCGGTCGATAGTGTTTTCCGGATCCGATCCAGAGTAGTTGGTCTCATCGATTTGCTTGCGCAGGCTCTGGTTGATTAAGTTGGTTTGTTTAGTTCGGTTCGCTGGGCTGGACTTTGTTGGTTGGTTTGGTTTGCTTGGTATATTCTGGCCTGCTCTGACTGGTCGAGTAGTTCATCTGGTGGGTCTGATCTAGTCTGGTTGGTCTGGCCTGCCTGGTTGGTTGATTGGCCTCGGTTGGTGGTCGATGTGTTGTTGTACCTGGTCTGCGTAGTCCAATGATTTGGCTGGTCTAACTAGTTTCTATAACTTTCCCGGGTCTGCCTGCTGTGCAGGATTTGGACGAGGACGAGGAGCGGCAGCAGGAGCAGCAACAGGAGCAACCCCAGCGCGCGGAGGGAGAGAACTCCGAGGATGATCGGGGGGAGGAGAGAAGAGAGGATCATCTGCTTCAGCGGCCATACGAGGTGTTAGACCCCGAAGCAAAGTTCGGCGCTGACTGTTTCCCTTCGAGCGGCTTAGAATAACGAGGAGGTAAAGCGGCTGCAAGAACTTGGGCCCTTCTACTTCCTGCCGCGGCTGCCTGCTAAGCTATTGCATGTATTGTGCCTTGTGCCTGCCCTCCGACGCGTTCTGACACTCCGCCCCGGCTGTCGAAGTCTGTCCAACGAGAACAGGAGGAGGAAGGATGAACCAGGCAATGCGCAGTGGGGGTCACCACTGGGGGAGTCACCACCTCGAGGATAAGGACCTCTCGGGATCCGAACCCCGCCAGACCTCCGAACGCACCACAAAAACCTCCACGATCCTCGGTCCTCGAACCTCGGTCCTCGGGAGTAGCTGGTGACCCCAACGTGGTGAGCCACCGTGGCACTGCCTGAAGGGGTGGTGGTGAGGAGGGAGGGCGAGAGGAGCCTGGGCCCCGAATCAGAGGAGGGCCCATGCCCTAGGCCACGGCCAGGCGCCGCCCTCGGACAGACAAAGCGGGGTCGACCTCCCACGCCGCGAGCCCACGCCGGCGGAGCCCACACCCCAGCGCCGCCCGAGCCGCCACAAGGGGATGATCCGGAGCCGATGCCCCAACGTGCCCTTCGGGGATCTCCTGACCCCGGTCAATCCAGACCCTGGTCAGCTCGCTTTTGCAGGATCCGGCAAAATCCTGCAGGATCCTGCGCCCAAGCCCGGGTCGGTGCAACCCCGGCCCTGCGCAGGATCCTGCAAGAGCCGGCGCCTTGAGCCCCGACCCTGCTCATCCCCCTCCCCCGCCCAGCGGAGATCATGGGGGCGTGGAGGTCTGCCGCCCCGAGGGGCGGGGAGGGGGCTCTGCCTCCCTCGGGAGCGGGCTCGGCCGCCCTGGGGCGGAGGAGGGGTGTTGGCTCCGCGCCCTGGGCGGAGCCGATGATGACACCGGCGCGGCTGCTCTCCAGGTCGGTCGACGCTCGTGCACGAGTGCCCAGGCTGTGTCGAAGGGGCCTGCCTGGTTCCCCAGCGCACCCGAGCGTTCCGGGGGTCGATCAGCGCTCGTGCCTGGAGCCTGGTCGAAATCGCTCGCAGCGCTTCGTTTCCCCAGAGCAGCGAGATGGGCCAAGCTGCTGGGAGCATGACGTCTGCTAGATGTGGCGGAGGACGCTGCGCTGGGTGAAGTGAGCACGATTCTTCTCCATGTGCTCGCTCGATCCCCACTTGCACTCGTTGAACATGCTAATCTGACCACCACCGTCGACAATGACGACCTGTGAGGGACATGAATCCTGATGGGAGCGGGTCCCAGGCACCACTGGTGTTTTCCCTGGGGCCAGTCTCTCACCCCGGATCGTTCCCTGAAAGCGCTCAGGGCCCCGGGAGGGCCACTGGAGACTGAAGGCCGTGAAAACAGAAACATCGGGGCCCTTTTTCCTCGGGTCTCCTCTTCTTGGCCGACTCTGGAACTGGCATAGGGGGGGAAACATCGACATGGAATCGGCGTTACATCGACGATAGCTCGGCGATCGACCCCCGATAGCAAGTCCCCACGTTCCTGGGCGAAGTGGAGCTATCAGACCTCTATGGGCAATCAATGGGCGATGGGGGCCGACGCATCCCTCCCTATGCTAACCTCAGAGGGTTTTGATCCCCCCAATAATGCATCCCCCGCGGCGGCCTCCGCTGATGATCCGGGGGGGAGATGCGGATCCCTGCTGGTGATGACGATGATGGAGGAGGCGAAGGACGAGTTGAATTGCCAGCCGCCGAGAGCTCTGGGAGGGGGCGGGCAGGCAGCGTTGAAGACCCTTCGCGGTTATCCCCCCCCTATCGCTGCTCCAGGGGAACCCTGCATCCCAAATGGGCGTCGAAACGAGACGGGTCTTGCGCGAGATGACAGATCGGCCTCACGCGGCGGCTTACGCGGGCCGCCGGCGCGGCACGCTGCAGTGGAAACGGGGGCGCCTACGCGCGGCCTTGCGCGAGAAGCTTACGAGCGAACGTCGGCGCCGGTGAACTTGTCTCTCTGCGTCACTCACAGGAGGAGGAGCAGGAGGAGGAGGAGAAGGAGGAGGAGGCGGAGGAGGAGGCGGAGGAGGAGGCGGAGGAGTAGGAGCAGGAGGAGGAGGAGGCGGAGGAGCAGGAGCAGGAGGCGGAGGAGCAGGAGCAGGAGGAGGAGGAGGAGCAGGAGCAGGAGGAGGAGGAGGAAGGAGGAGGGAGGAGGAAGGAGGAGCAAGAGGAGCAGCGAAATGTGTGTTGATTTACACGTTGCCGTCTCGCCTTGGACTCTGCCGCCGCTGCGCTGGCGGGCCCGCCGCCGCTCTCTCTCTCTCTCCCTCCGCCGGCTTTCTTCTGCCGGCCCCCCTTCTCCAGGCGAGGGCGCGCGGGAGGCGGGGCCCTCTCTCTCTCTCTCTCTCTCTCTCTCCCTCTCTCTCTCTCTCTTTTGAGCGCTGCCCTCCACGGCAAGAAGGCCCTCTCGGTGGTGCAAAGACGGGGTCCTGAAGGATTGGGTCCTAAGGATAGGAAGGGATCCAAGGGCGACCTCACGCTGTTTGAGGCACCTCGCCCTCGGGACCCCCCTTCTGGGGAGCCCGCAGAGGACGTACGCGCCCGACCACGCACAGGAGCACGGTCCCCCCAGGCCGCGAGACCAGCCTCGTGATACGAGTGTTCGCGCAGTGGGTACTCTCGAAACCAGCGCGGATGCATGCGCGCACACGTCTTCTGTCGCTTCCGACCTTCTGCACCCCGCGGCGGCGACCGCCCGCCGCGGTGCAGCAACGGAGCGGGCTCGGGCGGGGCTCCCACGGCCGGCAGGCGCCCACGATACCGAGACGCCCCAGGACCTCTGGTAGGTGTCCGCGAAGGTGGACACGTCGGAGGCCCCGCGGGGGCTGCGCCTCGGAGGGCGTCTGCCCAGCGGCGGGTGGCGAGAGGCGGGCGCGCGCGTTTCCGAGTGTGGCCCAGCGCACGGGCACGCCGCCAGGAGCCGAAGCAGATGCGCGTCGGGGGCAGCCTCGGAGGCGGCAGCCTCGGAGGACGGCGTCCCAAGAGAGCATGGGGGGAGGTGGAGCGCGGAGGGGGTGAAGGGCGGAGGGGGGTGAAGGGAACGAACGAGAACGACCACCGCTGCGGACAACGTCCCTGGCCCAGCTGAGACCAGGCGGGCGAGGCCGCGGCCTCTGGAGTCGGGCGCGTCTGCACAGAAGGTCGGGGGAGGCGCGAGCTCAGAGAACCCAACGCTCCGTTTTCCCCCCTTTGTCCTCGTCCTCGTCCTCGTCCTCGTCCTCGTCCTCGTCCTCCTCCTCCTCCTCCTCCTCCTCCTCCTCCTCCTCCTCCCCCAGAGCGCCAACGTCTGGGAGAAACCGAGACGGAGGGCGGAGGTCGGGAGGTGGAGTTGGAGGGCCTCTGGCAGGTGCCCACGGTGAGCGGAGGCGTCGGAAGCCCCGTGGGAGCGCCTCGCTGCGCTTCGGGAGCACCCGCTCTGCGTCGACGGCGCTCGGGGCGGCGAGGGCGGGGACAGCCGAGGGGCGGGGAGAGCCCTCGGGAGCCCAGGGTCTGGCCGCCATCGGCGTGTTCCCCCGATACAGGTGCTATACGACCATAGTGAGCACCGAGAGAGGGACGAAGGGGCTGCCCTGGCCAAAGCGGTCCTCGCCCATGCGTAGGCTCTCCGACCTAGAACCGCATCCTGAACCTAAAGTGGTCCTTTACTCCGGCGTCTTCGCCGTGCGCCGACCACAGAATCGCAAATAGCATGGAGGTCATCCAATGTGTTTGGCCAGTGCGCTCGCGCCTTCCCAGCCGCGGGAGGCGCGCTCGGAGGAAAGGTCAAAAACTGCGCACGTCGGCTTGATATCTGCGCCGGCGAGCTCAAAAAGGTGAGCCTGGAAACCGCCCATCCCGTTTTCCAGCAACTATACTATACTTCTAACGGGGGCGGGAATGACCCCAACCCCCGAGCTCATTGGACTCTCGACTGGACAAATCATTGAGAGGAGTGCGTCTTCGATAGGGGCCGTCTTCTCCCGTTGGGGAGGGGTGTATCCCTTGGGAGCGGGAAGAGCAGCACGATAGTCTCCTAGATACTTCAGATGGGCCTCAGTACTGTCCCAATGCGGACCCAAGTGGCCACGGAGCCTTCCAATGACGCTCCCGAGAGGCCCAACTCATTCCCAAGGCTGAGGGACACCAATGATGTTCGCCGTCTTGCCTTTTCGCTTACAATGGGCTCCTGGGTCCTCAAGATGACTCCAAGGTGGCCCAAGAGAGCCCCAAGACCATGAGGCTCCAAAACGGCGCCAAAAGCGCCCGAAAACGTCCCCATAGCGCCCCCCAAGGGCCCCCAAAGGCAACTGCTTGAGCCCAAGAGGGGCAACTCTGATTCGCGCCCCCCTTGTTTGAATACATGTCCTCCAAGATGGCCGACATGTCTCCAAGAGGGTGGCAAGATAACCCCAAGAGGGCCTCAAGGGCCTCCTAAAATGGCCCTCAGAGAGCTCCACAATTGCTGCCAGAGGCTCCCAAAACGAAAAGTCTGCATCTGCAAAGGCCTCTCTTGTTGAATCGTCGTCGTCGCCGCCGTCGCCTTCTTCCTCCCCAATCGTTCTCCACTTCCTCCTCCCGCTGTTTCCTCCTCCGCATTCTCCTCCTCCAGCTCTTCCTCCTCCTCTTCCTCTCACTCCTGCTCCTCCCCATCCTGGCTAGGGTTCATCAGAAGTTGGATGGGAACGTGTTCCGTCAAATTCGGCGTTCCTTGCGCGCGCCGGCTGGCGGCTCCTTGCCGCCCGCGCCACCTCTGCAGGTGGTTCCTTGCTCGGCAGCTCCCGGCGGTTGGCAGCTCTGCTTGCCGCCATCAGTGGCGTTGCAGCGAGCAGTCCTACAGCTCGGTCTTCAGCAGCTCAGCGCGGCAGTTCGCTAGCATGTTGTATTGCTGCGAGCCAGTCGCTGGCCAGCCCTAGTGGTCGCTGGCCTTCCCGCATCCCGCTGCCGTCGCACCGAAGCAATGCCTGTCACCCAAGGCATTCTGACGAACGCTTGGATACTACCCGCCCCAGTGGACTCGCTCGCCGCTCCCCTCCTGTACTGGTCCGACTTGCTCTACGCTTCCAGCGCCTGCAGCCTTTGCCTCAGCCTCTGGGTGTGGGCGCGATGCCGCTCCACATCCACTGCCAGGACACCTCAGCAGTGGCCGGCCGCTCCGGCCACTCCTGCCGAAGCTATTCGTGCGGTAAGCGCCCTCCCTCTCCGCCCGCTTTCTGCGGCCGCCCTCCGCCTCCGTCCCTCCCTCGTGCCGCTGGACAATTCGCGCGCCACGCCCTGGACTACTGGTTCGCGCGTGCGGATTGCCTCTGCCGCGCTGCGACGGAACATATTATGTCAAACTCGTGTTCGGTGCAGCGAACGCAAACACACAGACACAGACACAGACACAGACACAGACACACACACACACAAATTATTCATATTCGCAATCACATTCACACTCTCAGTTCTATGTGGAGCAAGCTATGTTGTGCAATATGTGTGGTACACTGTATGTAGTGCGCAGTGTATGCGGTGCAGTCTATGTTGTGCAATATGCGTGGTGCAATTTACGTGATGCAGATCTACGTGGTGCACTCTATGTGGTGCACATTGTGTGTTGCGCACATTATGGTGTGCAATCTATGTGATGTAGTATATGTATGCATATATACACATATATACATATACGTGATGCAACCTAGGTGGTACAATAAAAGTTGCGCTATCTACGTGGTACAACGCATGTGGTGCAATATATGCGGCGAAGGTGGTTCAACATATGCATTGTGCAATATATGTTGTGCTACCTACGTCTTACAATTTATGTGGCCCAGTCTATGTGGTGCAACGTACGTGGTGCAAGGTGCGTGTTGCAATCTAGGCCCTGCAATCTATGTGGTGCAACAACCTAAGTGATGCAATTTGCGTGATGCAAACTATTTGGTGCAGTCGATGTTGTGCAATCTATGGGGTGCAAACTGTGTGGTTCAATCATTAGGCCCAGCCGGCGCGCGGCGACGACGCGGCGACGAGGCGGCGACGGGGCGGCCACGGCGGCGAGATAGCCGCCAGACAGGCAGACACTCCCAGTTCTTTAAAACAGAAGCAAGAGCCCCTAAGTGCAAGCACTGCGTGGGGAAAATCAGAAGACAGCTCGCCGCTTGGGCCCCACCGCCAGCCCAAACGTAGAGCACACATCGGGCGTAGCCCCGCACGCATTTGGATGCCCACGCTTCGTCCTCGTACCACTCGCGGGCCCCCTGCACGGTGAGTGCGTTGACGGCGTCCTGATCGTACCAGAGGCACACATAATCAGGTTGCGCCCTCGGCCGCCGAGAATAAAACCGTCCCCTATCGGTTGCGCCATAGGTTCCCTCGGCGGCCGAGAATAAAACCGCCTCCTATTGGTTGCGCCATAGGTTGCGCCCTCGGCCACCAACAATGAAACCGATTCCTACAGGTTGCGCCATAGGTTGAGCACATTGGGGCCGAGAATAAAACCGTCTCCTATTGGTTGCGCCAGAGGTTGCGCCCTAAACCGTCTCCTAGAGGTTACGCCATAGGTTGCGTCTTCGGCGGCTGATAATAAAACAGTTTCCGATTGGTTGCGCCATCGGTTGCGCCCTCGGCCGCCGAGAATCACACGGTCTCCTATCGGTTGCGCCATAAGTTGCGCCCTCTGCCGCCAATGATCAAACCGATTCCTACCAGTCGCGCCATAGGTTTGGTCCTCTGCGGCCGAGAATAAAGCCGTCTCCTGGTGGTTGCGCCATCGGTT